AATAATATATATAACATTAAGAAATTTCGTATTTAGAATTCACTTACCTCGGATTATTCTGAAGGATAATAGATATAAATACTATAGCTCTAAAAAACTTTTTAAAAAGACTATTAAATTTAATTATAATAAATAATACCATTAGATACTATCTAAATACCCTCCGAAGATTAAAAACGATACGATATTAATGGACGGTGACTTTTTCCTAGTAGAACCTTCTTTATTCAGATATAATAATAATACTAGAATATTAATATTAATATATATAGATGACTATTATATAGTAAATATAGATTTCTAAATTTACTTCTTCTTCTTAGTGTATTAATTTTTTCCAAAAATCAAATTCGGCCCTATTCCCCTCTCTAATAATAAGATAGAACTTTTTATAGAAGATACTCTAAATTTAGGATTTTAAATTAAAGACGGAATAATCGTACCAGTAGAAAGGTATAAAGTCCAATTGCGAAAATAGTTAGAACGATAATTAAAGATTTTATTAAGGGATTAGGAAGAAATTTAAAAATTAATGTATTTAATATTGTTTTTACGGAAGTATATTCTCGGAAGGGCGGACTTAATAAGAATTCTAAAAAAAAACTTTCTTTAAAGCCGTAGGAATGGTAACGCCGATAAGAAATAAATTAATAAAAAAATTAGAACAAAAGAATAGTATTATACTAATTGAAAAGATAATCAAAAATAGCGGAATAATTTTGCGAAGTAATAAAAAAAAATATAGTTTACAAAATAAAATTTAAGAAAGCTATCTATATAATTATAAATATTTTGGCAATGGGATTAGGAGTAATAATATTCTAAATATAAGGAAACGATCTAATTAAAGAATATTCGATAAAGAAATACTAATCAAATATTGAAATCAATTCTTTTATATCATTTATACTAATAGAAACCGAAATAAATTATTCTAATTTAAAAAGAAAAATACTAATAATTGTACGGGCTTTAAAGGAAATTCAATAGTTTATAAAATTATTAAAACACTATATTTATATCTACATAGACTACGAATTAATTATACGGACTATAGGAAATATATCGACTATATATTCTAAAATTACGAAGTAGATCGATACCTTATTAGAATTCGACTTCAAATTTTACTACTGACCAAATACCGACAAAGTTATTCAAATTATAAATAGCTTTTCCTAATTAATACAAGAGATATAAAGACTTCCTAAAAAAGAAATCGGCCGATCTAACTAGTATAAATCTATACGTAATATAGTAAGAGTAGCGGAACTTAATAAAATAAAGCCCTAAATCGCTTTTAAAAGTCTAATAATAAAAGAGTAAATAAATAAAATAATAATAGTATATACTATAGTAAGAGAATAGTATTAAAATATTATTCTATAGTTAATAAATGGAGAAGATTCACTTACTTATTTAAATACTATATAAAGAAGGAACATTAAAGCTAGAGGAATTTAATTTACTATCTAGGGGAATAAACTAATAAAATTCGACGTCGATAAAATATAGGTATTATATATTAAATTGGAAGATTAGAAGCGAATTTTAAAATGGGTTTACGATATTTATAATTACTATATAAAAATAATAATAACGAAAAAAATCCGTAGTAAATTCTAATAGCTAAAAAGAGCTTCCGATATTATAAAATATTATAAATGTTATAAAATATATTAATAATACTCTTATAAGAAAGGACTAATACTACCGAAATTAATTATCGTATTCCAATTTATAACGATATTCGGAATAGATTTTATAGAGCTCCTCAACCTACTAGGGACGGATAGGTCACGATATATTTTAGTAAGGGTAAATTATTTGTTAAGGTTTATCTTCGTAAAAGTATCAAGGGAAGTAATAATATACGAAGTAATAATTGCTCTGATAATTTAATTCGTAATTTTTAGGTAGTTAGATTAGATATATAACAATAATAGAATATATTTTTCGAATAAATTCTTATAATAAATTATCGAAAACTATAGGACTTAAATATTCTTCGGACCGGTCAATAGTTTGAAAAATATTAAGAGGAATGAAAAGAGCGTTGGGTTAGTAGTAGTTTAGATACGTAAGTAAATAATTAAAAAATAAAGTAAGATATTAGAAATATAATTAGTAATATTATTAAATTTAATTCTGAATATAAATACTAGATATATAAATAATTTGGGTGTATCCCTAATTTAAATATTTTTAAGCTTTACTCTATGAAAAGTCGGATTTACTAATAAGGTAATTAAGGAAATAGAAAATTTAAAAAATATTAATAAAACGATTTTAGATTAGGATAATATCGAGTACTTCGATTAAATAATAATAACATTCGCGGAGAGGGAAGAAGAAATTATATAAATCGGAAATTATTTAATGAAAAGAACTTTAGAAAATTCTAGTTAGAGTTTAAGATATTTAGAATTTGAAATCGGTTAATAAATATAGGAAGTCCGTAATAAAAATAGGAGCGAAAAGTTAAAATTCGAACTAATTTGGATTAAACTCTACGAAATTGTAAATAAGGTTATATTATAGAATTATATTATAAAATATATAAGGAAGATAATAAAGCGGAAGAAGCTACATGCCAATTACTTCAAATTGTATTAGGGAAGATTAGATTAGTATATAATTAAGGAAAAGAATAAAGGAGACGAAGAATTATTGGAAAAGTTGAAAGCTGAAGGGAATTTAAAGATTAATATAAAGTGAGAAGCGAGTGAAAGGTAACGTTAGAATTTAGACTTTGTACCTAGATTTTACGATAGCGTTTAAAGGTTTTGGGGTTTGTAGTTTTTGTAGGATGCTTTGAGAACGAAGCACGAATTATACTGGGGGATTCTAAAACCTACTTTTGTAGGGCCCACTTTTTCTTTCTATTTTAGGTTAGATTTCAGGGACAGAGGCTTCTCCTCTTCTTTTTCTCTTCAGACAATCAATCACTCTTTTATCCAACCCCTGGTTTTTGGGTTTTTAGTTTCCTTTTGGCAGCGGGGCAGGGCACCGGAAGCTGGGGCATCTGTGATTGAACAATTAGCCGCCCACAGTCTAATGCGTTTACGCTATGTACTGTGAATTATAGACACTCTTCGTGTTCATCCTCACAGCCGTGACCAAGGTTACTTTTCTCTCCAGACGTCGCGATAGGAGAGCTTGTGCTTGGTTGTGAGCAGTGATATTGCGTTGCAAGCAAGGGGTATTTGCCCAGGTGATGACTAGCCGGCTGTCTGCAGTAAACTTGAAGCTGTGCCCTGGTTACTTCATCGAGAACACTCCTTGCTGGACCCAGGGTAGCTCGAGGGTAGGTCTGTGTGGTCAAAAAGTTTCCGATCAGAGTGGCTGCTCCAGGAAAGGAAAGGGGTGGTTGAGAAACTTGTGGTGGTGGACCTTAATTGCAGCCGTGCGCAAACAAAACTGACTTTCCATGTAGCAGATTCATAGCCTCGGGCTGAATTGAGGTTTCTGGATCAGATATGTGGACGAACAGCGTAGCCTCCTGTCCTTATCAGTTGTTGATTACCACTCGGTAGATTGTAGCCGTCATCGTCCGACTGGAAACCGGTAATACGTAGGCGCAAGATGGATGATCTCGCCACAACGGCATCTCCTGTGATTACTGATCAGTAAAGAGACGTGTCAGACTTCAGAGCAGTACCCAATATTTCTAGCCGTAGTACCTTATCGGTAGGTCCAAGAACACAATCACACAATCTCCTTACCTGACCGTATGCCTAATAGAGCTGTGAGTTGACTAAACCAGGGGTAGCAACGCAAGCAACAGCCGCGCTCACCATGCGTAAGAGTGATTCTATAACATCAGCCCAGGACTTTTGGTCCAATGATATGGAGGCAGGTCAAAATCATCTCCGTGATCTAGCGTCTAGCGCGTGTGCTTGTTGGCTGTTGGTCGAACTGTGCCTTCAATACACCGGGATCTCTGTTGATATCTGGGGTTGGACACCACCAGCTGGACGAGACATTCGACAAATGATGGCGCTTGCAGGAGGCTCAACATATCACTCTGCACGTCAAGCCTCCCGGTGCCTGTAATGCCTGTCAAACTTCTGGGCAGATAGATCGTGATAGAGGGTCTCTTGAAGGACATGTGGAAATTGATGCGTACCGGTTGTTGATGTGATGTTGGCGGTGGTGTCCACTCTCAGGGCAGTCCTAGGTCCCATGTTCCCGGTATCTCCATGTTCCGCGGGTGGGACTCCAACGCCATTGTGGAGTGTTCACTGGAAACCAGCGAGCGAGCCCGTGGTGACGCGAAGCTGTTCGATCAAAGACTTCTGATGAAGCCCGGCTCGACGAGTATTGAACTGGCTTGATTTATAGCCCCGTAGAGGACTTCCCAGGCCATCCTACGAGAACATTGTTACAGCTTCGAGGACACTTTGGAAGATCTGGTTCAAAGATCATGGGAAATGAAGTCATAGCCACCTTGAGGTTGAGCGGTACCGGATACAACCCTGCCTGAGTTGAATAAACCATGGTTCTTGGCGGCATCCATATTGTAAACAGCAGCTCGTGGAGGCGGTTGAACGAGTTCCAGGTTTTGTTTGTATTCGCATGCAGTGGAAGCGGAAGATTTGGAAGAGAGGAAGAAGGTCGCGCGGTTGCACTGAGAAAATGGAGGTACCCAGGTACATACAAGTACGTCGAACTCTCCCCGCATGTGCCCCACTGCGCTAGGGCAAATCAGTGCAGATATTGACAGCATTGTGGATCTCAAGCGAATGAAAAGAAAGAGCGAACGCCAAGCAGTCGAACCAACAGAACATGTGAGTGAGCCTTGCGGAAAGTGGCGGCCTGGCCTGCGCCTACGCCTCTACACCTTCCCGACGACGAAACAGGCGCGCGGATCATCGTCTGGTCGTCTAATGACCAGTCACAATGAGACCCAGCCCTTCTCCCGTCATCTCATCAAACTTTTGTCACTTTTGCTGCTGCCTAGTCGCTCTCTGGAATCGACCTTGTCCCCGTCCAGTCACGGTGTTTTTCCATGAAGTCGACCACTGTGGACGAGGCAAGGACCCTTTTAGGAGCATATCCGTCTTTCTCAACTCAAGTGAAGCTGTCTTCACGTCTTTTATTAGCCCACACTCCGGGCAGGCCGTTTGAGGTGTCATGGACACCAGCCGATACTTTCTTTCTTCCACTGGAGAGCTTGCCTTGTTGCGCCGCGAAGCTGTCATATCATCAATGCTCATTGAGGCCATCTTCATGACTTCCACGGTCCACTCACACCTTGCCCATGATACGCAGACAGAAAACCCCGCAAAAAGGACGGCGGCCAAGGTGGGAATGCGCGAGAGAGGCAAGGACGGCCAAGATGATGAAGGTGTTGTGTCGTTGTCCACATGGCACCGTTGATTCGCTTGACCTGGTGTCCAAATCTGCCCCCTGTCAGCGTTGCTGCAATCCTGCCCCGTTAGTTGACTAAACCTCAAACCACCAGCACCGATGCTTTCTCTTTCCCCGTTCTTCATTTCATTCTTCGTCCAAGCTAACCTGTGGGCAAACGCAGATTTCAGATCAGTGACCGCTGCTTTTGTTGACCTGGCCATCAGTGACAACGTGGGTGGCCGGTGTGCGAGAACCAATTTCATTCAACCACGGGCGCGTTACAAAGCCAAAAGCTGCAGGTCCAATTGTACCCTCTTGCCAAGACCTTGGCGCTACAGTGGGTGGAACTTTTCTTTCATTCTCCGACAAAGAGGTCCTTTTGGGAATGACCATCACGGGCTCAATTTTGAAGCCATTCACAAATGGAGACATCCATGTGGTTGCTGAAAAGCCGCTCTATAAAATGATATAGAGTGCACTATCGTCCGATGATTTTTAACGGTGGTCCTAATGACGGTCCTACGATAGTGTACGCTATATTATTTTATAGAGCGGCTTTTCAGCAACCAGATGCATGTCTCCATTTGTGAATGGCTTCAAAATTGAGCTCGTTTTGGTAGTTTTCGTTATCTCTTTTAGTCGGATCAACGGCAAACCCTCCAAAAAAGCTGAGATTCTTAGCTTTTTTGGATCAACGGGCCTTGGCACTTTTCGTTCCCTTTTAGGAAGTTGCAAGGCCTTATGCAGGCTGAAAAGCCACGTACAAGGGGGCCTGTCTAGCGTGGTACGTGCCAAGCTTTCGAAAGACTCTTTTGAGCCATATGTAGTGTGATCAACTGCATATTTCCTGCATATCAACAATAGGGGTCGATTTTGTATGGGAATCCGATCAACGTTGGGAAGTTTGGAACACGCCCCACATCTTTTGCATACTATCACCGAAGTCCGGCAACCAGACAAACTCTGAGCGCCCTAGCCAGGATACACACGCCCACCTCATACCACGTAGCCGGGGAGTTGCTCGTTGGGGTCAAGACGACCTAGACACGCTTCTAGGTTCTAGCCACTACCACCGCCGCGGGTACCTATCGTGTTGTTGTACTACACGAAGTGGGCTGCCAGCGGATGGGGTTGCTCTCTCCAGGCCAGGCTTGAGGCACGGTCTACGCATCATGACCCGAAAATGTCCGCAGTCTAGAGCGTATGGTTGTCACCGCTGTGATATCCGACTCTAGATTGCTGTGGATGAAGATCACGGCGACATGGCACAGTCGAATGGCTAGTACACAGCTAGTTCTCACTCATTGATCAAGCCCTATGGGACAGAAAACGAATTAACCTAATATGGACACCATGGTCGTTTTACATCTCTCACGCCACGCCTCTCTACCCTTACTCCAGCTGGGATCTCCTCTCCTTGAATGCGTTTATGTTCTCTTTCACAACCCCCCTACCTCCTGAAACTCCTTGGTGGAAGCTCATAATAATGGACAGTGGAAGCGCAAAGTTGGCTGGATCCAACAACTATCCTCTGTACCTTTCCTTGTGTGTCCATTCACAGCTTCCTCACTAGTCTCCCAATTCAGCATGCATTTCCGTGTACCATGTACATCATGTCATACAAAGTTGACCTACGTGCCTCATCTTGAGATGTTGGTGTGGTACGTTCCCATGTACAAGTATTTGGCATTGAGCTCACCAGTACCAGTGAACATCCACTCTCCAGCCCCAGTAGGGCGTTGACAACCTCCGCTTGACTACTGGCTGTCTCATTGACTCTGGGTATGCATTGGTTCGCGGCCAAGTGGTATATGTTGCTGCGTATACACCCTCTATCTACAAACTATGTATCCTCAGTCACCCAAGAACAGAGTTCATCCGTCCCCTTGACCAACCTACCCCTGTACCTACATATGCTCCCTAGCCTCTAGCCCTTATCCCCCTGTTGTGGTGCCCCTGCCCCTGTCTTTCTTTTTTGCCCTGTCTCCGACTCCGACCCTAGGCCTTCCTGAACGGTTCAAGCCAGGCCGGCTACCCACTCATGCATGTCCCTTTGGCTTTCATACTCTAATTCCTTCTGTTGTGCGCTAAGCTACGCTCGTGTGGGTGTTCAGGAGCTTCACCCTTCGCCTTACATGGATGAACCTCGAGTACCCACATGGGATACTGTGGGGATGTACTGCCTCCCGAAAGTTATAAGCCATCCTCCTCCCGGCCCATGCCCTATGCTGGGTTGAGGCTGAGGGACTTCTTTACATTCCCAAACTTAGAACGCAAACTATCTGGCAATCTAGACTTCGATCAAGCTAAAGTCAAGTCCACCACAAGACGCCAGTCGGTCGATCATCTCATATAAGTCGAACACTTAACTCCGGATCCTTACGTGATATCTTGGCCACCATCGTCAACGCCTTCGCTTCGACACTACAAGGAAGATCGGATCGCCAACAACGTATGTGGTGCTTATAACCTTTTCAACTTTCTTATGTTTCTGTCTTCAATATCCCAAAATGGCCTTTCAATATTCACCTTCGAGTTTCGACGAAGCTTACTCAGACAAGACCAGTTCGAATCAAGAAAACAACCCATCTTCAACCGATACGCTGATTCAGAGTTTGCAACCCGTCGAGTCTTTGGGAAGTCAACAACTGTTTGGGACAGCTCCATATAGCAACCCTCAAAACCAGTCACTCTTCCCGGCCCGATCGCAAAACCTCCTTGACGCAAACTGCTTCGACCTCGATCTCTTCCGGACCCACGTTGAAGAATTACCTCGAACCAGTCTCGCATCTGAATCCTATCCGGCCCCCGATCCTCCCTTGTCGGAAACTGAAGCGTCAAGAATCATGAGGTATAGCTCACACAACTCGAATTATCGGCGGTGAAATCCAACACTAACCTGAAGCCCACCTAGTGCACTCGCCTTACAGTACGACACCAATTTCTCTATGGGTTCACGATCATCTTTTTCATGGCCAGGTAAGTAGCCAAAAACGATCTTGATCGGACAAACCAGCTCACAATCGAACAGTCTTGGACTCAGGATCCGGTCTCATAAGCCCCGAACTCGGCTCATACGGGTCAGATAGCAGCTTCACAGGATCAAGGTCCGGAACGGCGAGCCAACCCAGGACATCACTAAGTGCAGAGCAATGCCAACTCAAGAGGCAACGAGACCAAGCCCGGCGTGATTCGAAAATGCATCTCAGGGGTCGCAGGGCGGGAAGCAGCTCCTCATCTGGCGTCTATTCACCACCTTCTTCGTTGGCAGTCTTGTCATCAGGCGCTCCTAGCATGCCTGTCTACACAAGTGCTGGCCCTGTCTCGCTACTGGCTGAACCTCACACTACACATTACCATGCGCAATTCTCGCCACCTTTTTCAGACCACCACCACAGTCAGACCAACATGTATCATAACCCATATCCCACGCCAACATACATCAACGATTATGGTTATCCCGCATCGGCCACTCCCAGCTTGCCCTCACACTACGGGTAAGTTCTGCTCCATACCATCCTGGTGTCAACAGAAAAACCGTGCTAACAAGACTTCATACAGTCGCCCAATGTCTGACCCAAATCTCATGTACCCGGTTTCACCTCCAGCAATGGGAGGTAGCCCTCAGGATACCGCCGGGCAGGTTCGAGTCGTGCAGCCCAGGCCGAAGCCGCAATGCTGGGAACATGGATGCAACGGCCGTCAGTTCTCGACCTTGAGCAACCTTCTACGTCATCAGAGGGAGAAGTCTGGACAGGCGACAAAGGCAACATGTCCGAACTGCCACGCCGAGTTCACAAGGACTACTGCGAGAAACGGGCATCTATTGCACGACAAGTGCAAACAGAAGCGGATCGGCAGCTAAATGCCGAAAACAAGAATGAAAAAAGAAGAAAAAACACAAGATCCAGGAGACAGATCGTGAGACCACCCGACAATTGTATTCGTTTCATATACAAATTATGCATGTATACATTTTGGGTTTTGAATGGGATTTTGCAGGGGGAATCTCGGCAACGAACATAACGAGACAAGCTGGGAAGAATACTGGGAGCTACAATGAAAACTTTGCTTGGTGGAACATGTCTAACTAGAAAGAACGTCTTGATGACAAGATCTACGGGTTATACGAATGAAAAAGCACAAACAGCTGTTGTTTCAAAGCATGCAAAACTCGACCCATATTTGGATCTGATATCTTCTCTCAAAGTATGGAACCCATACAGATGTTCCCCCACACCATTTTTGCCTATTCGTTTTTTTCACAGACGCCCGTCTTCCCGTATCGGGGATTTTAATCATGCTTAATCAATCACTCCCTTCCCGGTGCGCTTATTGAAAGCTTGGCCCTGTAGCAATCTGCTGTGGCGTCCTCCTCCTACAGTGATTAGGTTCGGGCAGTAAGCCCACTACCCTGAAGGGGGGAATATACTCGGCGTTCTATCCTTTTACAATTCAAATTGACCGGGGACAGCTCCCTGAAACGGAGCTCACTAGCGAGCCGAGTGATGATGAGCAGATGAGGGTGGAGGAGAGGCGAGGGGGTATGCCGCATGGTATGGCATGGGGGTACACAACCATAGACGTATGTAAGTACCTAGGTATCTCAGAATCCAGATCACTTGCCAGCGGGCCTGCCCCATCTTCAGTACTCTACATATAAAGTATGTATGGGTATCACATGTACCTACCCGACCTCGCCGACCTGAACCTTTGGAATGCCTTTTAAGGCCAGGCCAAGCTCGCCGAGCTAGGCTGGCAACGACACCAACGGGCACCTCATCTATGTATCTACCCTTGAGGCTTGGGCATGGCGCAAACGGTACAACGAATGGGTAAACTAGAATGGCATGTCCATGAAGTCAGAAGAGAAACAGTTGAGTTGACGGCAACACATGTCCAAAGCCGCAAAGCCAAAGAGAAGTCAGAAAGCCGCACCTTCCGAGTTCGGAACGACCATTCTAATAGGCTATAACAAGCGGGTTCACCATCCCTGTTTAGGTACACACACACACACACCACACACACCACGCATTCAGCATGTACACACACCTCAGGGCTTCAGCACGCATCATCAGCCGCTAAAGCTAGTAGACAACCTAAACTACTAAGACACTAGTCGAAAGCAAGCCACCACATCAAGCGTCAAGGCAAGACCTTCGGCCCGCTCACATAGCGGCTCACATAGCGGCCGGCGGCAGCAGTGCACACACGCACATCACAGGCAGCGGGACACGGCGGGTGGGCGGGCGGGAGACCAGCATGATTTATTTCTTGGTTTGTGATTAGCGCAGGTCTGGCCATCGTCTGATCGGGGTGTGGTCTATGTGATCCGCATCGCCTTGCCTCGCCCGGTCCGGTTGGGCTTGGGGTGTGTTAAGCGTTGACTTCCATTAGTATGTGACTCGGGCTGCTGAGTGAGGTTAAACGGCGATCTCAGAAAATGAATGATGCGGCACAGCAATGTGTTGTCCCCGGAACCCCGAAGGAGGCCGGAGCATGAAGAAGTCTAAATGCTGCTTGTCATTCATTTTCATTGCTGAGAAAAAAAGCAAGGTGAAGGCGCTTTCAGATTTCAGGCCCTATGCGGGATTGCTTCAAACGGTTCTTCCAGTCCGCCTTGGCTGAAGGTCTTTTTTGAGTTGGAGCGGTTCGCGGTCGCGAATGAGCATGGAGAGAATTCGGTTGACTGAAAAGTGGAAGTTAAATGAAGAAAAAAAACTCAATGCTCAGCCTGAAGACCTGAAGTTTAGGGCCGTTAACTGATCATGTCTTTGATGAAGTTTGTCTAATGTGGAGTGATGATGTCGTGAGAAAAAGAAGAGAGACGGAGTTGAAAACACAGCCGCCCTGGAAATAGAAACTCCCCAGGCCCCAACATTCAGGGCTCAGGGGACAGGGGCAGGCCTGTAAGGTAGCAAGCCCAGCGCATGGCCCCTAACCCTGGGCCACTAGTTGGAACCACTAAAAACGCCATCCGATTCTCCTTTCCCGCTGCAACGGTCCGCAGACGAAAGATCCCACGGCAGCGCAGCCCTTTTTACTGAATGTTTGACATTCAATTATCCGATAATGACGGGGTAAGTGACCCCCAAATCTTTTGCATCTTATCAATCAAATGTCAGATCAAACGACGGGAGGGTTTTTGGACCGAGGGATGGACGTCCGGAGGCCGGTGCAGTCACCCCCCGGACCGGACCCCGTGGGGTCCACTACGGCTTACTCCATACAGTAAATTTTAGCTCAATCGCACCAAAGCTTAACCCCGCATCCGGATTCCAGTTGACTACCCCACAATGACGGCGCAGAGGAAATTCCCACCAACATCTACTACAAGTATACTGTAGACTCGAAGAGGTTTTGCATCCGTCAACTTCATCAATGTCGTCGTTATCATCGATGCTCCCTCCAACAGCTTTATTGATACCGCAATTCACGAAGCGAGGACAACATAGCCCGTAACGACCCGGCGACGCCAACTGACGGCGGCCGCAGTGACCAGTCTTCCCCATACCCCCACGCTTGCCAGTGATACCGGCCAGTCTCTCGAGCAGGTATGTCGCGACATCTGACAAGAGCCACAAGAGTTCCTTGCAGAAAGGCTGACTGTGAATACAGGGAAAGGATCAGAGTACCGCAGAATGATGACCCTTGATGTGGATCGATGTACAAATGTCGCAATGGAGCCTCTCGTTACGCCCAGTACATTGTACGTTGAACGTCCCGCCGTTCGTCAGCCAACGACAACGGAACATGCTCCGGACAGACCCCCTCTGAAAGGGTAGCGGTTATGTCCGTGTGTGCAGTCAATTGAAGATGGTACTCTCGTCTGACTGGATCACTAAACGATATCTCCGATGACCGACATGAACGGTACACAAATCTCGTTTCGTGGGCTCGATATGACTAAGCCCTCACTGTTTGGCTCCCTTGAGGAACGATTCGTCTCCGGCTCGGCCTGGTTTTTCAACCATTATCTGTGCGGGAGTGAGTTGACGGCATACATACAGATGGGGATGTCTTCCGTGCCAGGGCTGCAGCATTTGGGCCGGAGTGATGCCGGATATAACAGCATGCGAAAACGTGCTCCCTTCATCCCGCGCCGCCCACGTCGTCCCCTCCCGTCAGAATCCGGAACATGCGGATTCAGAAAGCCGACTGCGAATGCCGTCATTCCCTAGACAGGAAGAGGAAGCGGGGAAACGGTAGAATCCAAGGGTCCTTCCAGTTCGTCGCTTACGGAAGATCACAAACAGTCTGGGGATTTGCTCGGGGCCTCCTCCGCGGGGCCTCCTCCGATATTATTGTCTTTACCTGAGCCTTAGGACTTGCCCTCTACTCAAATCAACCCATAAGCACTCATTTCGATGAGTCAAAGAACGGTATGTGTCGTGATCACTTGACGAAAGTGTCCTAACTTGGAAATCAACAACCGCAGTGGAACTGGAAAATGGAAGGTCTGACTAGCAAAAAGGTATTCGGGATATGGCGACATGGGGAGAGTCGCACATGAAGAACATGGAGCTTCAACATATCCATACTAGGGTCTTTTTAGGGTCCTCAACCGCGTCACAACATTCGCTCAGTGGCGGCCATGGTCGACGGGTCGTCGGTCGTTGAACAGCGGAAGATGTTAAGCATAAAGGATCCATTCCCGCTCGCCGCTAACGAATGAGCTTTGCACTAGTCTACTTCCGGTTAGCATTGCATTTTTGGCGTTTTTATCTGTACACCCTTCCCCACGCCGTACTTTTGATCTTGCACCCCCTTCCTTCTTACACCATCTGACAACCAGATTGAGTATGGAATGGGAACGATGCCGCAGGAATCTGACATCCGCCCGGTCTATGTGCGATCAAATCCAACCCAACAAGCAAGGCTGCAACAATCATTGCTTCTGGAAAAACAAGATGTTGCAACGGCGGATTGCATTAGCTGGTCGAACTCCTCGTGCATCGACACTGGAACCCTACACTACCATGCATAAGATATCACAGCGTTGCAAGCACTCCCCGATTCGACAGCCTTATCGAGAGGCCACGGCATCCCGTTTTCGATAACTCCTCTCTCAAAGCGCGGGTAGAACATACCGGGCGTCCGCTGCCCGCTTCAAGTGGGTAGAAGATATCCGAGGGCTGAGTGTCGAGAGACATGGCTTTTTCGGTGGCCAAGCATCACCCACGCCCAGACAGCGGGAGGACGGTTCCTACGGGACAAAAGGCTCGCACATGCCGATATCGACCCTAAACTCCCATAGCAAGGCCGCACTGTGATTTAGGACCCTTATTTACAAAAAGACCGCGAGTCAAAGGATAGGATCTGACCTGAGACGGGACACAAGATCATCGCTGTACGGTTCCAATAAACTAGTTCCTAATGGGTCAGGACTTTAAGTCCTGTTGCAATGGCTGACACGATCTGCGATCCGTGCAACAATAACATTCACCGTTCAGCAATTTCTCCGTACCCATCTCACCGAGGTCAGTGCCCTCACTGGGGGAATCGGACTCTATTGCATTGCAACATCGGACTCTGCAGAATCCAACGTCGCCATTCATTGCGTGAATCACAAAAGTCAGTACGTTAACGAATCATATAGAGCTATGGTAACATCCTTTCCCTGCAGCTTGTAATCGCGGAGTAATCGTTCTGAGATCCGGCGCCTGCTTACTACCTACTCTGCTTCGACATCCTTGTCCGTTCCGAAACATCACTTTCACGGGGACTCTTACTAGGGGACTTCCAGTTTAGCTTATTACCTTACTACAAACTCTCGGGTATATTGACCAAGACAAGTAGTCATGGCGACGAGCATACCAAATACAACTGTATCACGCATGGCAGTTGAACTATTGGGCGCCTCTAAGTCAGCCAGGCCTCATAGAGATAGAGGTAAGCTTACATTGACTCGGATCCACTCCTAGGTGCTTCAGTCTAGGACATGCCCCAACCTCAGGGACACTACTCTCTTGACATGTTAATCAGCGTCTCTCTTGTAAGTGCATCTTCGGAGTTCAGAGGCCTGTAGTCACAAGCCGCAGGACTCAAAGGTGAAGCATCGTGGACTTGAAGCTTGAGTGGAAACTAGCTGAGAGCAAGCTAGCCATCCATCAATGCTCAACCTTTACGGTTTTAAGGCATCCGTGAATGGCGTCCTCACTGTCTCTGCCAGTCGACCTGCAGACAATGAACCCCATCAAGCCACCGGATAGACCCTTATCGCTTCAAATCCTAGTGCCTTGGCTGCGTTCCCTGCCGAGAATCAAGGAACAAAGGTCCTATGCAGACACATCCATCCCCATCCATCATGTCAACTACCGCAAAACACACCTACATATCACCTACATACTCATCACAAGCACGGAAGACCTACATGAATCCCATCATTTTTGCCAAGAAGGAGGATCTCCCCGGGCCCTCTCTCCCGTCTCCCCTTCCTTGCTTCCTCCGTTCCTTCCAAGCTGTCACTATGACACTTGTCTTCTGCATATGATGTGTCGAGCTGCAGTATCTCCCGATGAGATGAGATCCCGTCGCAAACACTTTCAGCAAGCGTGGGAAATCAGGCCGCCGGCGGGGGCGACTGGACCGGAAAGACAGCGAGTACATCAAGTACATCGAGTACATGAGTGACGTGCATACGGTGAACAAACGATGTATGGGACTAATCGACTAAGACTAACGAGCGCATCTAGTTCCGCTCTGATTCAGCGACGGGAGGAGCATACTAGGGACTAGGGGAGCGAGTAGGAAGCTTTACCGTTCCGGCACGGGCCTTTTCTAGCCACCCAGTGGAAGTCAACGGCATGGATCTTCTTCTGCCCTGTTTTCTGCTCGAACAGGTCGAAGGATAGATGTACTCCCGATTAGGCACGCTGTCACTCGCAAGTAACCAAGGGTCCAAGTGTTCAAGGGTCCAAGGGTCCACCCAAGGGCTCAATGATCTCGAAGGGTTCAAGAACCGTGGGGGGGAATTTGGGCATCTGGTGCTGAATGGTTGCCGTGAATACTGGCCCCGCTAGCCAACAATGATCTGCAACTTGATCTCCATTGTATTTCTTGGTCTCTTAGAAGCAGCGGGATAGAAAGCGGCTGCCGCTAGCTGGGGTTCCGGTTGGTATGGTGATGGTTTAGTCTTTCCCACATGGCATTGCTTGCTGCTCAAGGTCCATCTTACGTGTCTCCTTACCTAGAGGTACCTTACCTACCTCGAGAGAAGTATTCCTGAGCAGAACGTCCACGCCGAAAAGCTCTCTTCCATTTGCTCCTTATCCTCCTACTCGTCGTCGAAAGTCAAGGAGGAAGGAAGTAAGGGGCAGCCTACGTACGTACGTACGTACGTACGTACTACTAATCTAGGTACTTCCCTGTACACCACGGACAGCCAAGCCGGAAGGGGACTTTGATTCTCTCACCCCTCTTGAACAGACGGGAGGTTAAAAAAAAAGAGAACCTCTGCATCCTTCTGGGCTATCCACCATTTATTTGCCTTATGATGTCGGTTGGTTAATAGAAAAAAGCTCATTCACGTTTCTTAAGTTCAAAATCTACACGCAAAACAATCACTACATGCAGTGGCAATTATTGCCCCAAGTGCGGAAGTGCCGCCATCCCTGTCCACCCCCCATAATACACACAGACACCCAATAAAAACATCCACAAAAAAAACCGAAAAAAAGAAATGCCCAATAACAGGATTGAACTGTTGACCTTCGCATGGACTTGATATCTCGGAAGACAAGATATTAGTACGACGCTCTAACCAGCTGAGCTAATCGGGCTTTTGTTGAATGTCGGACTTTTAGACCGCACTTATATCATGACCTTGTGCAATCACTTATTTTGGGAGAATTGGGGGTTTGATTCAAATGCGATGATAAGGCGTGAGAGTATCAAGGGAATGATTAAGATATGGATACTTTGCTGTTCTAGATTGGATTAGTGGAGTCGTCGGATTGTCAAAGTACGGTACCTTTGTTCTGTTCGGTTCGATCATGGCGTTGTGACCGGTTGGAAGGTGAGGTGGTGGGTAGAAGAATGGAAGGAAGGAAAGCCGAAGCAAGTAGCGATGGATGGGTACATAGGAATCACGGTAAGGAGGAGACATCTGTCGTAGTGAGAGGATTGACCTTCAACTTAGCAAAGAGGGACAGAGCAGTGTCGTACTCGTTTGTTTCATGAATTGAGTGATCCAGGAATAATGATGAAAGGTATGTTCCAGGATTCAGTGCCACTTCTATTTTTCCCACTCACCTTTGGCTACTATTTAGGAAGGACAGAAGTCTGGCCACTAGATGGTCATTGTCAAATTGACCGTTTGAGTTATGTACCTCTAATAAGGGTTATGATGCTCGAACGATCAAGCATGTTAAGCAAAACAAGGACATAGGTTCTGTGGAACAGTCATCTCGAAACGCTGTCAGTTATTACGAGCGGCTCCACGAGTTTATATCACTATAATAACTACTGCACTCTCCGTTGTGATTGCGACAAGGTTGAAGATGGGCCATAGAACTACTTTGAGAATCACCTAAGGACTAATCCACTATAGTTGACTTTGCATCTGGCCTAATCTGCGACCATCCTCGCTGGGTATCTACCTCCAGATTGCTCAAAGCTCAAATGCATCCCTCTATGGCAATCTACACACCCAAGATCTTCTTCCATTCTAAAGCTTCATATGCCTCGCCCGAAAGATCTCAACTTTGTCCTCCTCAAAGGGTATCTCCCTAACACGGATCAAGACCCGTCCCTCAGGGTCGTAGAAACCGTCATCTTCTTCCCGGGTACTATCTTCATCACTATCCTCTGAATCGCTCGACGCACCATGCACCAAGTGATCATCATCTTCGTCCATGTGAAATTCCTCCAGCTCGTTATCATCAGTAATTACGCCTTCTTCGTCTTCATCCTCGTCATCTTCCTCTTCTGATGATGAGCTCTCGCTGTCGTCATCATCGCCGTCATCGCCGTCATCGTCATCGACCTCCCCGCTGCCCACGTCATTGCCCCAGCTTTCCAGAAATGCAGCCGAGGTATCAACTTCCGACACGCTCCACTTCCGATCGGTAATCACCCTGCGATGCTCCCAGAACTCGAAGCAGGTATGAGATATGCCGGCGTACTTCAGACGAACCTCAGGTCGCAGAGTAAGGATGTCGGCAATATATAGGGCTAGCTCGTTCGGGTGTAGGGTGGGATAGAAGTATTCGGCGACGTGTGGAATGTCGATTGCGTGGAGCTGAGGCATGTTGGGAAGACTTTGGAGGAAAGGGTGCTGTGACAGCGTGTTAGTATGGAAATAACAAAATCATGGTTCCAAGAACAGAGCTGAACGTACCCAAGCAGAGTAATAGAGTGAGACAGAAAGTTGCTTCAGGTTGACCATTCTTCCGCTTGTAATGTAGCGGAGCGTATTTGTCGTAAGTGACCAGTAGCGCCATCGAGAACAATTAGTACGGGGAGTTGGGCCGGAGCTGTCGAGGAGTAAGGCGCGCAAGCTGGAACTGTGTACTTCGATCGCCTGGAAGATCTTGTGAAGCTTTACCGGGGGAGCGGGACCGTTCAACCTGGTATCCTGTAGGTAAAGAGTTTCCAACGAGTCCGGAGCCAGAGTCTCCTTGATGAACTCTATGAGAGCAGGGGTGGTAAGATCGGTATGAATTTTCTTCAGTGACAGCTTGTATCGTAGAGTGGACGGGGAGGCGCTTGGTGTACCTGAGGATGTTTCGACATCGGGATTGACAGGTTCAGGTCGGAACTGCCTTCGCAATAACACCCATACCGTCTCTTGATGTAAACAACACAGGATAGTCAGGCTTGTCAGGACTGACCAGTCAAATGCGTACCTCAGTACGTGCATTGACAAGGCCATTCGCTCAAGCTCAAGGACGCGTAGCTTTAATTTTCCGTCACGCAGTCCTGCAACACCCTGGTCTGGTTTTGTTGATCTTGCGTTCTCAGATGCTGATCGCAATGCCTCTGTAGAATACTGCTGGTTCGGAGACTGAAGAACAGATGCTCGTTGAGCAGAAGGATCTGTCGTCGAGTTCGAAACTTGCGTCCCTGATCCAGCCATGCTAGTGTCGTGCTTCTTCGTCTCGGGCGATCTCCTCCGTATATCGTAGATCTTTCCGACCAGGACGCCCAGCACACCTCCTAATCGTCTCTCGCCAATGGTGCACTCGCCTGGCCATCTTGCATTATGATCCACCTGCTTGAGTGTCGATCCATCCCATGCCATGAAGAAATCCCTCCTGTATGCCCTCAATGAAAGTCCTACTCTGAGCTCCTCCAGACTGTCTTTGGATCGTTCGATCAAGGTCGCCATCTCATCCAAGTAGGCTGGTTCTTCGATGTTCAACACCGTCAAGCTTTTGAGGGGCGGTAGGATACTGAACGTTGGATACTCGTAGCTGCATTGCGAGTATCCTATCGGAGATTTTGATCCGTTGTACGTGGCATGATTAGGTGACCTACAGCCGATAGGTGTCATTACACTTCCCGCCTGAACTGTTAGAAGCGGAAATGGAGTATGGTTCGAAGTCGATGGGTGGTCGGATAGTCCTGAAGTGTCATGCCACCTGATCCAAACACTTTTGAGTTTGCTGGGCTCAGGGTTTGGCCAGCGACTAAGAGAAGCCAAAGCCATAAAAGTGTCAGACAGGACTCCGGTCGGCATGTCCCAAGTGAATGACTCCAGGTTGGTCATCTTCGCGACTGCCGATGCTACCAGAGTGTTAAGCATTTTGCCGCCCACCTTGGTGACCAGGTAGTTCTCAAGCCATTCTCTGGGTCCATTTTCGATCGAGAACTTTTTAACGTATTCTGTATAGTTGTTGCCGCCGAATCTCGCGGGCCTCCCAGGCTTGCCTGTCGTGATTGCGGCAAAAGAAAAGTGCGTATTCCGGCAAAGAGTCGATAGACCAGATGTTAGAGCGTCGACAGTTGGAGTGTTAGGGGACCAAGAATTATTGCTATCTGGCCAGGCGATGTCAAAACTCGAGTATATAGCAGCTATTACGAGGTCGTACAGGACCGAGTGTGTACGTGCAAGCGCAGTCAAGTCACTGTTATCTGTGATCTGTTGATTGAAAGGTCTGGATCAGTAAATGCAAGGAACCGAGAGTTTATGGGGGAGTGTTCCGCACCTCTTTCAGGATCAGCTCCAGGATATCATGCGGAAGGTCGATCAGTGTCAGGGGCCGCGACAGTTCGCAAATGGCCGTCTGCTTTTCGGGGTTCCTTGACCCGAGCTTCCCCATAATTTTTCCGAGTTTTCTTCCCGGTGACACGCCCCCCTCGTCGTGGCCAGCGAGGCTGCCAGGAGCCATGTCGGAATCTGCTCAGCGCAAGAACCGCGGAAGGGGTAAGTATGGCGACTACAAAATCAAGGTATTGGAGTTAACCGCTGGAGGTATGCAGGAGAATAAAGGACAAGTATTGTGCAGTTAAGCGTCAAAACCGATGCTGCGGCGCCAAAGAAGATGATGCTGCTGAGATGTTGCGAGGGACCGCCTCTGGCTCGGTTCCAAGTAAGACCTGAGAAGGCAGCTTATTAGAGGAAGTGGGCATCAACTGAAGTAGCCAAGTCCAGACGGAACTTCTGGAGCGCCCCTCATTAGGTCTGGCGTTTGAAGTAAAAGGGAAGGAATGAAGCAGACGGGACGGAAAGCAGTTGCTGTTGGAGCTCATGTGTTGGAGTGCGCCCAGGCAGGCAGGGAGATGCTGTGCTTGACATTGGGCCTCGGCAGTCTAAACCCAATGTTGCCTAGCGTACCCCAAAATATCCATCATTTGACCGAACCTTTCCATATTCGGTCTGCGTTATCAGTTTATCACTTACACCTGAACTGCAACCCTCGACACCAGGTAACATATGGTTCAGAATTGTTGTAGTTGATGAACAGGATGTGGAATTTGGAACCTCAAAACCGGTCGGGGAACGACCTTGTGGAAACTATCACACGAGAAGCGACAAACCGGTGGATTGTGGCGAGTCCGCTCTTTCCTAGCCATGTATAACTTGTCGAGTGGTCGTAAGAATAAACCGAACATGACCAGTCCCATATCGCTCTCTTTGGTTAGGAGATGCCATTGACAAACCGTGATATGCTTTGCAACAAGTTGGAAGCACGTCGGTCAGAGTCTATCCGGGATGCTTTAATCCAAGAACTATGTTCAATTTCGCTCAAATGGTGTAAGAAAGATACGCAAATGCTTGCAAGAGTATTCCGAAGGTGTGATGTATTTGACTGAGGTGTTCGGCACCGCTCGCTTGTCAAGCAAGCCATCATGGGTAGCATATGGCCATCATGGATATCTACTGCCATAGGTACTCTCATCGTCTTCTTACAGTAACGGCAAGTCAAAGTTGAGTTCCCTGTCTATCCCATGCAAAATGCAACTCGCCCTTTACCGTATAAACTCGCGAAATTGAGATTCAGGAAGGCAAGCACGACGCAGTGTTAAAGGTGTAAAAAAGCATGTATGTGGCATGTATGTAGGTAGTTGACCAACACCTTTAACCCTGCCTTCCCGAATCTCAATTTCGCGAGTTTCTTGACTGAAGGAGCTCCGACGCCTGCTTTATCCTGACCAGTCCTGTACAAGTGCGTCTCATGCACAAGGGCTTGATTCACAGTTTTTTCTTGGCTCCAAGATCAGACAAAAGTGACCCTGTGATTTTTTGGGGATCATTTTCAGAAACTTACAACATTCAACAACACACCATCTTGCTTACTTACGAGCCTACCTACCAACAATACCTTTTCATCAAGACGTGTCAGTTCTGGACCACGTTTTTGTCAAACAACCTTAACAACCTTGCTCAATAGGTAGGTGCGCGTGAACCACGATACAGTCGTTCAATCCTGAAACTCCACCCAAACACGCACACAAAACGCAAAAATATTTCCTCATACCTTAGTTCTTCTCATGCAAGTACTAACCATATGACAGAGTCAACACACTATCTCAAAAGGACAGCACCTACACTCGGCTCAAAATGCATCCGCAAGAGCCTCAGTCACACGGGCCCGGCGCCCCTTCGTTTTCCGCCCGTCTCCAAGCAGCAACCATACTTACCGGTATTCTCTCGCGCCACAACATACCACATGCCTTTATTGGCGGCTTTGCATTCAACTTGCTTGGCACTTCACGCTCAACCCTCGATATCGATTTGATCATCGAGGACTTCGCATTCTCTCCCGGCCCTTCCAAGCCGCCCAAAGCCCAGGAGCCAATCCATCAAATCCGGCAGCTGCTGGTCGAATCGGACGAAAGATTCTGCTTAGTAGGGAGCGGCATGATCCCAAAGCTTATCTTCACAGCACAAACGGAAGAAGAGACGAGCCCGGTCCGGGTCCCTGTTGAAACGCTCCGCGCCGGCTCCCTCGGTTTACCTCGGCATGTTAGTCAAGTTATGACTGTGCACGGTATTCCCATTCTTTCTCCTCGGTTCCTGCTCCTCACCAAAATCAAGCGCTGCACAAACTTTTTGGGGAGCGACCGGCCCAAGTCTGTAGCGCGCTTCAAATCCGACGAGGGGGACATCAAGCATTTGTTGAAGTGGCTGTCTGAGGAGAACGAGAGAGTGGATTTTAAGGGTTATCACCATGGTAGTACGGGGGCTGAAGTCGATGACAATGAGTCCATGAAAACTTACGACAATTTGATCCATAAAGTTGGTGAATTGGTTCGGTTTTGGCACGAGAAAGGGGACGAGGAGGAGGAGACGGTGACGGGCTTACAGAAAGTAATGGAGGAGGATGACTGGAGGAGCGTTCTAGAGAGGAAACTCAGTATTTAAGGTTGAGTTTGTTTCCATGCCGAGGAAGTGATACATACTTAAGGTGGTCTTGCTTGTAAGTGTTAGTGGTATGGAGTAGACCCTAACCATTCTCCCGCCTATAGCCATCAAAAGCTGTTAGTGACTTATACGCCTCCTTATCGCAGCGTATCTCTAGAGACATAAGCGCCCTCCTCACCCACCCAAGACGGGACGTTGTACACGCACCAGTCCCTGGCGGACTATCAAGGATATCCAGCCGGAATCAGGCGGCTCCAGTTGGAGCGCGAGGACCCATACCCCTCCATTTATCCTCAAGAGTACGACACTGCGTTGAGTAGATATTGGTTGCTCAGGACCCTTGACCAGGTAATTCGGTAGTCTTTGCTGCAACCTTGTGAGCTTCGTCGCTAGGAGATCTGGTCTCGGCAACTCATGAGAATCAAGGTCATATTGAACAAGACGCAGTTTTTACCGTTGAAGTATCATATTGCCAGACATTGAACGATTGGAAATGATGTTGAGAGTCCGCGATGGCTTCGCGGGTTAGGCTTCTTTCTCTAGAGGGATAATATAGTGGAGTTTAAAGCTGAGCTCCATTCCCGTCCAGGCCCAGGCCCACTCCGTCAGCCTGGAAAGGTGGATACATGGATTACCCCACCATATCCACCTGTCGAGCTTCCACATCTCCCGCCGTCCAGTCGTCACGTCGAACCTCTGCCATGAACTGGAATTCAAGAGCTACCAGAGTCGCGACACTGCCAAACTAATTTTACAATATCCACCACAAGACCTCCGCTTCTCGGACCATCTTCTTCCCAAAGCAGTGTTTTTCTTAACTGCCATTTACTCGAGTGCTGCACACCCAGCTGCCTACCTTACTTTACACACGCCGTTTACGCACGCCCAATCCTGTGGCATCGATTGACTGCATACCGCGCATACTTCCATCTGATCTACAGGATCACCCTCTGCGACAATTTTCTGCGTCGTCGCACCGGTGGCAGCCTGCAATAAACTATACGCGTCAGAGCCATCAAAGGCCACCTTTCACAACTAGAATAGGTCAGTAGTTGAAGGGCAACCGTGTCTTGTGATCTGGCAACCATGGCCCTGTCTCTCGGCGGGTGACCGGCTCTTCGGCCCTATGGGCTTTGCCGGGTTGGGCTGCACATCCTCATCCGTCCCCCGCCTTCTGTCCCCCATCATCTATAAAGGTTGCAAGGCCGTAACTGACCCTCTCTTCGACTGCAGTCATCCACTACGAATAATTGACCATACTGCGAGTTTGCCTCTTCGTTTGTCCGTATCGCTTCCACGGCGCACCGTCCTGAACACGAATCGACAGCAAGAATTTCCCTATACTCGATATACCCTCCCGGTCAAAGTCTCATCCCCGACATAGCGCCAGCCTAATTTTCCCAATGACATCCTTCGCTACAAACCTCTGGGAGTCGATCTTCACTCCGGGGCCGACCCCCACCCTCCTTATTGCGACAAACGTCACCTTTGCCGCTCTGCAAATTGTCCTGGCGTGCCTCCTCTTTGCGACATGGAGCATCCACTTTGTGGTTCTCTCGGCTATCTGCGGTGGACTTTGGGTATCCATTAACTGGTTTGCGGCGGAACTGAAGGTGCACCAAATCCAAGAAGAGGAGAAGGCGAGAAGAGCCAAAGAAGCGGCGCCGGCTCCAGTCACATCGGAAGATAGCGAAACAGAAGTGGAAGCAGCTAAATCAACAGCTAGCCTCACGAGGCAGGAGTCAATTGCAGAGGCGGTCAGCCATGAGGTTGAGCCTATCCAGCAGCTTGGAGAACTGAAGCACAGAGCGGTTGAGGAGACACCTAGCCTGGGCACTAAGAGCAGCGTCAGCACGGAAGATGAGTGGGAGAAGGTTTCGGAGAACGAGAACGAGAAGGACAAGTGAATATCCCGGCGGTTGATCAGGGATTGACTACACACAGGGCATACAAGCGAGGCTCATTTTAGCGAAGCTACCATGGCATCCTGTAAATATTCTTATGGTCTGCTTTCGTGTTGGAGTTGAGCGACGATGGCATTTACATATCCACCCTATTTTCGTTCTGTATCAGAGGAAAAGGATAGGCAGTTAAAGGCTGTAAGCCCGCTGTTCGTTTCATGGTCCTTAGCCTGCCATGAAGCATCATGACCTGTGCAACTACAGCTACAGCTCCTGGGACAAAGTCATGGTAAACAAACATCTGTTGTTCGGCGTGACAGATAGCCCAGCCCATCAGGCTCGTGTACCCGATGGTTTGGTTGCTTCAACTCGGCACATGAACAGATCAGGCGCCGGCAGACAATTGAGAGTATGAGACGCATGACTTCCAGGGTTAGGGGTTTTCGGGCCGCTGTTAGCCTATTCAACTTGATTCACGTGACTGGACACGGGCTCTGTCTTGGCGCGAAGCGACGGCAGGCTATCTGCTCCACCCTGACGCCTGGATGGTTGTCCAAGCGTCCAAGGAAGCTCGACAAGCCTTCTCCCGTCGCGACTGTTGATTGACTGATAAAGTAGAGGTAACAAGCTGGTAATCGAGACCTTGTCACCACCAATTCCATACAACACATATTCAGTTACGCGTCGTAAATAAGTCAAGATGAAGCTGGTCAGGTAAGACTTCTCCTTGCTTCCTGATGCTTTCGCTACATCCACCCAATACCCCCATCCCACCCGACTTCAATCCTATTCTCTTGCACGACGCATGCTGAGCTTTGAATCCTCGCCTTCAAGGCTGCCAGCCCGTGTTCGCGCGCGTCCATGCTGCTCTCCTAGAAAAAGAACACCAAGGGCACCAGGCTGACGAAGTGGAATCCGTTGCTTCAACATTGCAGATTTTTGATGAAATGCGCCAACGAGACGGTGACGATTGAGTTGAAGAATGGCACAATTGTACACGGCACCATCGCCTCGGTCACACCCCGCATGGACACTGCGCTCCGCAACGTCAAGATGACTCCCAAGGGCCAGGACGCTGTGGCTTTGGATGCCATGAACATTAGGTAAGTCAGGCCGTTTGACGAGAGGAGGAGTGGCGTTTTCAATTTGGAGGGCCATCACTAACTGTGGAAATCCTACAGGGGCTCGACAATCCGTTACTTCATTCTCCCCGATTCCCTGCCGCTCGATACATTGCTAGTCGACGACTCCGTAAAGCCCAAGAACAAGGCGAGAAAGGAAGCGGACCGCAGCGCCGGCGGCAGAGGTGGCCGTGGTGGCCGTGGCAGAGGAAGAGGAATGGGTCGCGGTCGCGGCCGTGGCCGTGGCTAAGCGAAATCTCGTTTCTTTGGGATCGGCCACGGCGTGCGGCTCTCTAGACGACAAAGACGTACGAATTAGAGATTTTTCAGAGACGATACGATGCTATACTACGGTTAATGGTGGAATTTCTTCGGTTCGTTATGCCCCTTCGGTCGACCGGCTTGACCGTGTTTGGTGGGAAGATCAAGGTCAGCCCGAAATAATGTCCGGTGGCGACGAAACGACAAAACGACGATGGGTGCGCCTCACAAGAATCGAGGAGCACGTCCAGATCTTTACATGAGCGACACACAAGATTCACCTCGTTCGCATCGAGTGTTAACACACATAAACACCAACCCCCATCGGATCGGAGCAGAGGGCAAGCATTGGGATTTCGTTTCGGCGTTCTGGACAGGATAAAATCACTTTGCTAGCGGGAAGGAGAGAGAGAAAGGCGCGCCCAACCGCCACCGGAATCAAGTATTTTATGTATCACAAAACAGATAGACGGCGATATATGTCCACCGGAGGAGGTGGGAAAAGCAGCAAACTCTCTATACCCATTTTCTCGGAATCTTTTATCACCGTACGTGACTGACCATCGTCTTTCCCCCTCTCCCAAATCTCATCAACACTCATCCCATCCTCAACCCATCTCCATCTTCCCTACTCCCCCCTTCACATCCCTCCATTACCTCCAAACCCTCACAATCTGCAACTTCTCCCAACCCGCCTGCTTCCCACTAGTCCCCACCGTCTCCGCCTTCCACTCCCCTTCGGTAGTACCCATCGCTCTAATCCTCCCCTTCACCTCCTCCGGCTTATTCTGCGCACAAAGCAAAATATACGCCACCCCCCTCTCGCTCAACACCCCCGGCAAAGCCTCAATCAATCTATCCGTCGTCTCCATCCCATCTCTCCCTCCAGCATACGTCAACTCCAACAGATGCGAATCCTCCTCAAACGTCGTTTTCTCCCTCAGTTCCTGCAGCGGCACGGGGGGAGGGGCAGGCAAGTCAGGCGTGGGGACGTAAGGCGGGTTAAACACCAGGACGTCCACCGTCCCTGCTCGCAAGGGGGAGACCAGGTCGCCTTGGATTGCTGAGGTCCAAGAACCAGCTGTCGAGGAATTCTCGTAAATGGCCTTAGAGACGGTGAGGTTGGTGGCGGCGCAGGCAAAGGGCGAGACGTCGATGGCGGTTGTTAGGACGTGCGGGGTGCCGAAGATGGTGGAGGCGTGGGCGGTTAGGAAGGCGATTACTACGCCGGAGCCGGGGCCGACTTCTAGAACTAAGGGGGTGCCGGGGTGGGGGGAAGAAGAAGAAGAAGAAAAGCGGGATGAGAGAAAGGCGGTTTCGGAGGGGGAGGAAAGAGTGTCGAGCAGGAGGAAGGAGTCCTCGGCTGGTTCGTAGACGCGCTGGTAGGGCACGTGGGAGGTGTCGGGGGTTGGGAGCATGGTGGCGGTTGTTGTTGGTTGTTGGTGGGTGGGAGATAGTTTGTTTTTTGGGGTTGTTGTTTAGGTTTGGGGTTTGGATGGTTGTCGGTATAAGAGGTGGATGGTACTGTGTTCTTGACCAGGAAAATGTGCCGACAAAAGTTAAGAATTGAACCAACAAGATGTGAGTGTTTGGCGACAACAAGGTTGAGGATTGCTTCAAGTTTTGTCCGATTTGGGTTGTTGGAACAATGAAAAGAAATCAGAGTTTTCAGCTCATTTACGTTTCGGATAAACACTCGGCCTTGGCACGTGATAAGGGTTGTGTGCGTGAGAGCAAAGACAGCGAGAAGGACGACCGAGGAAGTCACTCTCTCTTCACAAAGCATCATCTAGGCGAGCAGCATCGTCAATTCAGACGTGGACGCGATGAAAAGAAAAGAACAATTGCGTCTAGGTAAAACCCGCATTGGCAAAGGCGACTCGGCATTTTTAGCATCGACTCGTAAAATCAACGCAAGTCATGAGTACCTGTCTCCTTACTATCAACCCAGATTCACGACATCAAACAATACATCCCAGGCCCAGCTACCTAGGTCCACTACCTCCCAAGCTCCTCAAGCTTCCTCACTCACAACTTATCCTTCTTCACCCAACCCCTCCTCCTCCAATCATACTCCCACAACTTATTGTCTCTGCACAACTTACACGGAACGGGCGCATTATTACTTGGATAAGGTGGTACCGGACCCGGTAGGGAGATGGGGGCGCTCGGAACCTGCATAGGAGGGCCATGGTAGGCTCTGCCTTTGTGGAAGGTGTGTCCGCAGAGGAAGGTAATGGGGACTTCACGGTGGGGGATGGCGTGTGTGGACATCTTCTTGCTGCTGGAAACTGGAAATGGGGAGCAACGCTGGAGAGTTGGAAGAAGATATGTTGGACTCTAGTCTAGAGTGGTTCTGGTGCTTTTGTATGGGTATACCGAGAAGGGAAGACTTGTTCGGCGTAGCGTTATATGGGATTTATATTGGAACGAAAGCTGTGAATTTACTTCTGTGGAATCGATGGAAAGAAGGGAGCACACCTCTAGTGATGCAATACTATATGTTGAAGCGAGGAGTGACCAACGTCCAACATCACATCTACCAAACAGTCCCCAAATATCGATCAGATTTGGAGTTAGGATGATGTGATGTTGAAACTCCTAAGAGAGTAAACTTCATATTTTACCTAGTCTTGAGATCATCACACACCGGTGACACCGGACAATGGCCACAGAACTGTGCCTCAAGATTCTTCCCACAAACTGAACTGAGCCATTGGACGCCTGTTTCAAGCGGCCTCGGTCCCTTTAACCTTGTTTGCCTGTCTAGGCCTTGGTCGTGGAAGCAGTAGGTTTCATCATTCATGCATGCATTATAATGGGCGTTACTTTGCCCTAGTTAGCTCATTGTCACACCGCGGCCCTTTTTCTTGTGTAGGTAGGTATGTGACCGCTGATACCCAGAGTCACAATAAACAAAGTCACAATACGAACCATCAAGGAACACTTCAAGTCTCTGAACATCAAACGCTATTCATTCGTAGGTATACAGCCCATTCTCATTCTCATTCTATTCCTACACACACACCTCTTCACATCGTCGTAGCCTGCGATACCGCCCCCTCCTCCCTATCGTCATCCTCATCAATCGGACTCTCCGTACACTCAATAGCCGTATCATCCTTATTATCATCCAACCCGCCCGTAAGCTTCGCCAACATGAACTCTATCCTCCTCGTGCTCTTCTCCAAAGCCTCCAGTCTCGCCGTAATAGCGCTCATCTCATCACTCTCGCTCAAAACGCCCTGCAACTCCGTCCTCAGGCCCGGGAACGGGGCGATGCTGTCGCGACGACTAGGTGGCTTTTTCTTGTCCGTGTTTGTGTCCTTGGCCGGTGTCTTTGTGGCTGTTTCCACGGTGTCTTTCCGGACAAACTGCCGCCTGATCAAATGTTTCGTGAGATCATCGTCTCCAGCGATCTGTTCGAGTACCGAGTCTGGCGGCGGGACTTCGAAGACGGTCTCGATGTCGCTGTGCACGGTGATGCGCCACTTGTTCCAGAAGCGCGCGCCTTTGCCTTTGGTGCGTCGAGGGTAGGAGGAGGATGAGGAGTTAGAGGAGTTGACAGATGGCCCGCCCGCTGGTGGTTCTCCTCCTGCTGTTGAGGTGATTGGGGGAAGGATTCGGCGTTCGACCAGGGCGATGACGAGCAGGAGGGGGAGGTTGAGCAGACGCACGCTGGCGACGTGGATTTTGTGGAACCAGCGCGGGGTGACGAACCATTTGAGGGGGATGAGGATGAAGACGGCGAGAATGTTGAAGGGTGGTTGGTAAGCGAAGATGGCGTCGCCTTTGACGCCCTCGAGTGTCAAGACGGCATGCCGGAACTGGATTTCTGCGAATGCGTTGCTGACGATGGTGCTGAAGGTGTTGGACAGCATGGAGACGAGGATGGTGAGGAATAGTGTGTTGCCCAGGAAGGCGAACATGACCATTAGGGCTGGTCCTAGGTATTTGTGGAAGTCGGTCTAGCATATGTGTTAGTATACGCCCAGGCGATGGAGGCATCGAAAGTGAGACATACCGAATGGTGGATGCCGGATCCATCCAGACCGAACCAAATGTAAATCATCCATTTGCTGATAGTTCTACGAGAGGGTTAGTAGATGTCAAGAACAGTGGCAGGAAGTAAGACTCACACCCAGGAGAACTGGTGGTTTCCTAGCCAGACAAGGGACAACAGGAAGCCAAAGAAGCACCTATAGGATGTCAGTATATCGAGATCGGGACGAGACAATCAGATGAGCTTACCAGCCAGCCAGTACAGTCAGTAGAGAGAAATCGGCCATCATGGACCGGAGCGACAGGAAGAGGATGTTGTCAGACAGCAAATTAAACGCCAAGCGAGGAACAAGCACCGGTGCGCCCATGGCCAGCACGTCAAGAGCTTGTTGTCCTAGTTCTTCGTTATGAGATTGCCAGCCGTACACACGCATGATAAGGTAGATCCAATAGATGGAAGCAAAGGTGACATCGAGGAACGACCACAAGTTTTCAGTGTACACATCCCTGTGGAAGAGTTAATGAGACGTCTCCTTTGGAAGACTATTGAAGTTTTCACGTACCAACCGTGCTCGAGAATCGTTGCAAACTGATCGAGTACCCAACCGAAGGCGTAGACGGTGAAGCAAATTTCCAGTTTCGTTATCCGACCTGCGTCTCTTTCGGACATGAATACAAGATAGAGAGCCAGGAGGATGACAAACTGGATGATTTCCAAAATATTTCGGGTTCGCGGTACAACCAGGCGGTACTGATTGAGCAAAGGCGCATCTCTGGGGTCATAAAGAGATATTGGCTTCTGCTTGTAACGGTCCGGGATAAGGTCCAGGAAGCTAGAAGGGCTGTAAATAACCCGTCCCTCGTAGATGGCGTCCACACTGTTCTCAAGTCAGCCCTCATGCCCACTGAATCCGAAACTCCGTCTCATGACTTACATCTTCTGGCATGATGTTGAGCTCAGAAAGATCTTAGCCTCACTCAGGATGGCTACCTCCAGGGCCGGCAGCGTCTTATGCCATGCTGTCGGGGCATGTACCTCCTGGCGAATCTCTGGCGGAGCATTTTGGAACGGCTCAAAGCCAGCAATAAGAATATGCGCCAACACCAAAAGACCCTCTGGACCCTCGTTGTCCTCACTGCATCTCCTGAGAATGCGTGTGGCTATTAGTTCACACAGCATGGCGCGTGTGTAGTTGACATTTTGCCTATTGTTGAGATGCGACTGCTCGTTCAAGAACTGCGCGCGGTTGACCAGCAAGCAGTAGACTATCGAGATATCGTCTTGCTCATAAAACTTGTCCACTAGTGGGCGGACGACCGATATGTTAATGCGGATATCGCGGAGTTGATCCAGGCTCAGATAGTCCTCCACCACCGAGATGATATCCCGACGGATCCGATGGATGTTGGTGTAAACTGGTAGCTGGGAGTGGTAATCATAACAAGTGTAGACTTGGCCGTCAAGTGAGTGATGCTGATTGCCATTTTGTGTTCCGGTTGTCGTTGTCCGTCGGGGTAGAAGGGGCCTTCTTTCTCCCAGGTCGGGTTCCTGAATGCGAAGCGCGGGCTGGTGTCGACGGCCCGACTGATCCCCCATCACCATGCCCTTTCCTGGTCAGTTGTTTATAGTTCGAAACTAAACACTGGACCGAGGTCCAAACCCGATAATTTAGGTAAACGTGAGTTTTGCTCTTTTCCTCCTCTGATCAAGATGGAGTTTGGAGGAGTTGGCCGAGTCAGGTGATGCTTGATCAGATGAACCTTTCATCTGATGGCAGTCGCCTTGGTGATGTGTAATGAGTGGAATCGGTGATATTTGTGTTTGTAAATAAAGCTGATTGTTTTGATACGCGGCTTGCATAAAACGACGCCCTAGGAATATGTAGCACGATGTGAGACACGAGGGAGACGGGGTCTACGATGGCTTGAATGGATGATTAAAGTGTAGAAAGGATAAACTTGTGAAAGAACCCTCGCGTCCTTATCGTGGGGGTCCTGGGACATCCATGAAAGAGAGCGGCTCCATCAAATGACGATAAAACAAGACGGGTTGGTTCCACCCATCCACAAGCGACGCGGCAGGGCGGAAGTCCAGACATGGAAGCTTGCCGAGCTTGGGAAACAGAGCTTGAACGTTAAGAGCCTCAAAGCGTTAGTTGGTGTGTAGCGAGGTTCCTTATCTGTTAGGTACTGGTAGCCTTTAACCCGTGGCTTATGCTGCTTATCTGCCATTTACCTAACAGATTTGTACTGGGTATACACTCAAGACCACATTCAGCTGCTACCATCCAAGCTCGCCCAGCAGCTTTCGTCATACAACCACCGAACAGCTTCGAACCCCTCATCTTCGTGAGATATTTGGCTTTGTCAATTTGACATGTAGTGTTCATTGTAACATCTTCCAAATTGGTGAACATCCAGGTAGGTAGTAAATCCGCCTCAAACTTACCAAGGTGAAAGATGCATTAGAACTCACAAGTTAGAGAATGTTCCACGTTCTTGGGGGCCGGTGCGAGCTGATCTGCTGAGGCCTGCAACGCTGCTCCCCATAGCGGAGAAAGGTCTGGACCAGCACCGCTTTGTAAATATCGCAACACTCAAACAGCCAAGCTCCCAAGGTATACCAAAATTTGTATTGTATCGAAGCGTTCGCATCTCACTTGTACCCATGTCTAAGGTGACGGAGGTACAGCTTGTACGAGGTAACTTACACAACCCACCATATTTTCAACGTAACCCCTTCCACATCAGTTCACAGCAGGACCGGTTGATCCTCACAAGTGACTGGTTCATAAATCCGAACCGGAAACCTTCTGTGGCACTTTCGACAGAGCTTGGGTCGAGCAGAGCCATTAATGGTGGGCACAGAGAAAGATCCGGCACTTTCACATATCCGAGGCTCAGGTAACAAAACCACCACTCCTAAGTCCCGGCTTGCCCAATTTGATGACCGCCAAAATCCCCAGCTTCCAGAGCCAAAACTTCATGCAACGTGAGGCCGTACCACCCGGAGACTGGAAATCTGTAAAAAAATCCGTAAGACAACTCGGGAGGCAATTCGAAAATAGCATAATGTAAAGGTCGAGTAGGGCCGATAGAGACGAAGAAGTTGTATTGCCTATTTCACACGGTCTTGACGGACACTGATACAAAGGGGACCTCGCTTGCAAGTCTAACGGATAGTATATTTAAGCCTTGGAGACGATCTCTGTGTAAAGATGTCAGTATGTTTCCAATCATTTTCACATGTTCGGGGATGGGGGGTAACGAACTCTCAACGTCAGCAACGGACTGGTCGAGGATCTGCTTGAGGACCTTGGGGTTCTCGAGCTCCTTTTGGACCTTGGCGATAACGGTCTGGGCGAGCTCCTTCTGCTGGCGCTGCTTGACCTGGCTCTCGTAGCGGACCCAGGAGTCGAGGACAGTCTTGGCCTCAGCGGCGAGAGCGGTGCGCTGCTCGAGCTCATAGGCCTCAGCCTCAAGCTTGGCGGTTTCCTAGAAGCCATGTCAGCCTCTGTCATTCCCCTTGTTTCCCCAGCACCTTTTCCTATCGCGTCCTCCCATCCACCTGTTGCACCACCTGCATCCCATGCGTCCCAATTCCCATCCTGGTAGCGCCTACCTTGGAAACAGCGAAGAGAGTCTTGGTGTAGTCGATGACACCAGACATCTGCTGGACGTCCGAGATGCGGGTCTTGACGGCCTGAGTGTGGTCGGCGCGGGCAGAGTTCAAGATGTTCTTGATCTTGTTGCTCTGCGCATCGGCCCACTCCTTGTAGAGGGGACCACCGAACTTGATGAGACCACCCCAGACGGAGAGCAAGCAGAAGGCGACGACGGTCTCCTCGTTCACGACATAGTACTCGTTGGAGAGGGCGTAGATGGAAAGACCGGCGGCGGAGGAGAGGATGGCGGTCTTGGACATGAGGTTGCTGCCGGGAAGGGAGTCGATGATGGACTGGGCCTTGGTCTTGGGGTCCTCGGAGGGAACACCGGACGTGTAGCGGGGGCTGGCAACGGTGCTCAGCGCGGGAAGGACGCGGGGGACGACGCTGGGCCGGAGGCGGGCAGCCCCTAAGGATGCGCCCGGGTCAGCGACGGTCTCTGTGTTGTCTTTGCGCCCGACATGGCCGTCCGAGAGCTCAATCTACTCACCGACAGCAGTTCTGGCCAGACGCGACGCCATTGTGGATGAGGGGATGGACGTGGGGTGGCTGTTAGTGACGTTGCTGAGCTTTCCAAGGTCGAATTGAGGTTTTAACGGAACGGGTTGACCCGGCACTTTACCGGAGGTACCTGGATGTCACGTGGATCTTGAGCCTGAGAGCTTCAGCAAAGACGCTGGAAAAGTTTCAATCAGCGCCAGTCCAAGAGAAAAGAGGCCCCACCTTGGCGCCAAGAAGTCTCCAATGTCACCTCCAGCTCGCGACGCCAAAGAAGGACTTTGACTTGGAGACGCCCCACTTAAATTTTGCTGAGAACGACGGCCATTTCGTTCCTCGAGTCGTCCACCTCCTCGTTTCCTTAACCAAACACCCACATATCGTCGCCAAAATGCCTTCAACAGTAAAAGACAAAGCCGCCAAGTCCGTCGTCAAGCGTAAACGCTCCGAGAACGGCGAACCCATCAAGAAACGCAGAAAGTCCGAGGCCGGCGAGGAGAAGGAAGACCTCGCATCGCAAATCCAGAATCTCGAATCCCAGATCAACGAGTCCAAGAAGCACTACAACAACATCGCTGCCCTTATCGAGTACGCTGAAAAGCAGAATGAAGACCCAAAGACCGCCATCGCCGCCGCCGAGGCTCTGTGCCGCGTGTTCGTCCGCCTCCTTGCCTCGGGCAGTTTGGTGAAGAGGAAGGATGCTTCGGAGAAGGATGCGACTGTCGCAAAATGGCTCCGGGATCGCTTGACGGACCACCACAAGGCTCTTGTCGCCATGTTCAAGAGCACCAAGCTTGCTACTCAGGCTCTCGTTCTGGCTATGGCTTTGCTGAAGGCGGAAGCCCAGTACCTGGAGGGCAAGGACGAGGCCGTTTTCCATTGGCCTCTCTTCAATGCCATCATCAGTGCGCTCTTAACGTCGCCAGTTGAGGAGGTGCGCGATGAGTTCTGCGACAAGTTTATCGACGAGTACGACGACATCAGGTTTTACACTTTTGAGGGAATCAAGTACGTGAAACCAGTGGGATCTGAGTTGCCCTTTGTAGCAAGTTGCTAACATGTTTGTGTAGGGACTTCCTCACAGAACGCGAGTCCGTCGATGAAGAGCTACAAAACACCGTGTTTGATTTCCTCCTCAAGATGGAGGATGTTCCAGAGTCATCCGAAGACCTTGAGGACTTCTATATCGAGCAACCCAGCAAGAAGAAGCACCCACTACGATCTTTGTCGCAGCACAAGAAGAGGGCGCAGGAAGCGTGGCTGGCTCTGATGCACCTCGGTTTGAGTAAAGAGCAGAGAAAGAAGGTGCTGGACGTCATGGCATCTTCGATCGCGCCATGGTTCATTAAGCCCGAACTCCTCATGGACTTCCTTACCGACTGCTACAACACTGGCGGCTCCATCTCCCTCCTGGCCCTTTCCGGCGTTTTCTACCTGATCCAGGAACGCAACCTCGATTACCCATCTTTCTACCAGAAGCTTTACTCCCTGCTGGATACCGACATTCTCCACTCCAAGTATCGCTCACGCTTCTTCCGCCTCCTCGACACGTTCCTGGGCTCGTCCCATTTGCCCGCTGTCCTGGTGGCAAGCTTTATCAAGCGTCTGGCCCGTCTCGCCCTCAACGCACCACCAAGCGCCATTGTTGTCATTGTTCCGTGGTTCTACAACCTTTTCAAGAAGCATCCTCTCACCACATTCATGATGCATCGTGTACCGCGGACCAAGGAGGAGAAGGAGCTGATCGAGAAGGAGGGAGTCCTTGACCCTTTCCTCCCTGACGAAGAGGACCCTATGGAGACCCACGCCATTGACAGTTCTCTGTGGGAGATTGTGCAGTTGCAGTCTCATTACCACCCCAACGTTGCGACCATCGCCAAGATCATCTCTGAGCAGTTTACAAAACAGTCTTACAACCTGGAGGATTTCCTGGACCACTCTTATGGCAGTGTAAGTGAACCACTAGTGATCGTATATAGCAGCACATGGCTAACATAAACCTACAGCTTATCGACGCGGAGATGTCCAAGGAAGTCAAGAAGGCTCCGGTCATCGAGTTTATGATCCCGAAGCACATCTTCACCAAGGCCGATCCCGGCACAGAGCAGACCGACAGCCCGCTAGTCAGTCTATGGGATTTTGGTTCCTCGTAAACCGGCTCTCAGACGCCGTACCCATAGTGTACGACACCCATCCCCAGTCACAGCCCGGACCATCCACTCGGTTGAGCCTTCTACATGTTTAGTGACAGCCTCTGCCTCCCATCGTTATGCTCAACACGGCACGTGGTAAACACAAAATGTTTCGGAAGCCAGTGGCCCTCTGCCAGAACGCGAACAAGGTTCAAATGTTTTCATCCGAAACATGCCAGGGTCTACCCCAGACCTGTTTACCAGAGCCACGAGATCACCATCGAGGTGGTTACGGAGAGAATGAGGGCCGAATAAAAAAAAAGTCGCGGTGATCATCGAGAAATGCTTCTTGGTTACCTCAATTGCGCTTCTATCCATAACCGTGAACCCTGGGGACTTTCTCTCTTCCCGCCCCCAATCGCACCCTCAACCACCCAAATTTCGCCCTCTCCGCCTTCCTTCCCCCCTTTCGTGGTACTGGCGGCCGGTTGCTCGGCGGGAACTCTTTGTTCTGTGGTGTTTCTGTGGGACGTCATACATGGTCACCGTCATACTTGATCACAACACCAGGCCAGGCAAGGCGCAGATGAGGACAGGACAGTAAGAGGTAGCATGGCCTGTCTCATTTGTGTGCTCTGGGTGGTGAATCACCCCATATTTTTCATGACGGGGAGGGGGAGGGCGCTGCTGCTGACTGGCTCAGTTGTTGTTTTTCTTTGGCATCCTCCGGGGCTTCCTCTCCAGCTTCGTGTCATGCTTATACCCATCTCGGATAGTGTTTTTGGATCACAAGGACTACTAGAGGTTATAGATTAGAATTAAATGAATGAATAAGCAAACAACCTCCAGTGGCGATCGAGCAAAGGGCCGGCCGGCCGGCTGGCTTCGTTGTGACTTGTGAGGTGCAAGTCTCAAGAGTGAAGCGAAATCTGAAGACCATCTATCCATTCGCTTCCAATAGTTCTTTTTTGTGCGAACCTCCTTTTGTGTCTGTGTCTCTGTGTATGTGTGTGTGCCAGTCAAAGGCAGTGACAGGGTCACAGAATAGATAGATACGTTCAACCTGACCCCTATCCAAATCCAAAACCCCCCCTCCCTGTTTTCTATCGAGCTCCGAAATACTATCAGTGTGTGCAACGCTGATCAAGGAAGGGTCTGGTGGCAAATTCTTCTGAAAGTAGTAATAGCGAAAATGAGAGAGACTGGCTCACCACCTAGTGATCCCGTTCAGGGTCCGCTTGGCAACGATCTTAGTGTAGTAGCAGACATCGAGACCATTTCAAGGCCGTCAGATGCTAGAAGTAAAAGATCAAAAGGTCTATACCTTCGCCCTAAAAAGGTCCCGGCGCTTACTCCGGTGAAGCCAGCCAGACTTGTTCGTGTCCGGACCGTAGGTCCGCCGATCAGCTTACCTTGGTTGGTCGGTTGGTTGGTTTCGCCGTAGTTACATCTACATCTAGACTTGGGTAAGGACATCTAGTCTACAGTAGATACGAGTCTATACTACGATGTATATTACTGGACTACTATCCGTACCCCGTATGTATGTGCCGCCGCCGCCGCCTCCCCACACTCCTTAGTCCTTCGTGCTTTCTTTGCTTCCGTTGCTCCATGTCAGGCAGACTGACACACGAGACACACGAGATACGAGGCACGAGGCATAGTCCTACAGGCCCCCATGTACCTACCGTATGAAGATAACGGCTAATGAACAGTATCATTTCCAAGTGATTCCCTTCTTCTGACTCCGGACTTCAACAATATTTTTTTATTCGGTTTTAGCAAGTAGAGTCACCATAGCGCTTGTCCTGTCTACATATCCTGACTCTTTGTTTGGAAAATTTAACGCATTGATGACCGACCACCTTCCATCCTTGAGTTCGACATTCTTCCAAGGAAGGAAAGACCCTGACAACATGAAACTTGTTCAACAGGTCAGGACATCATTTGTTTTTTTTTTCTTCCAAGTCCCTACATGCAGACCTCGGACCCTAGACCTACCCCACGGGTTCCCTTCCTTCCTTCCTTCCCATCTTCCCTTCTAGCTTCTTGTAAAAATCCAGATCATTTTGACCCATCATTACATCGATCCATCGAGACCCGTTACCTCCAACCCAAAAATCCCACTTTAGTTCGTCAGACTTTCGGTCAGGGTTTTGATCTACAGAACTATTGAGAGATCCCAACGCTGATCGATCTACACTAGAACTTCAATTGGCAACCTGATAGTCCCCAGAAAGAAGAGTGGCCAGGCTTGGCTTCTTTACAAGAGCCGCAAGTCGCAACGACTAAAAACGGTGATGTCGTCAATCGGCTTTATCCCCGAAGCCTGTCTGCTTCGTAGGTATGTATATCCGTTGCTCAGTGAGAGTCGTCTTGCTGGTCTTGCTGATCTCTCTTGGCCCTGTTTTGCCATCCAGCCAATACGGAGAGTTATCCTCTCTCTTATTACAGCTTGTTGCCTTATTCACGGCATTGGTATGTACCTCTAGCTGTAGGTCTTGTGCAAGATCAGAGATCTTCCTAGCCTACAATAGTCCCTACATACATATGTAGCAGTCTTGTTGCTCACTCTAGGTAGTGCAGAATGATATCCTGTTATGGATGCCGCTCTGTTCTGACATGTAGGGAACTTGGGACATTGCATTAGTTCTTGTTTCATATTTCGTTTCATCGACACCAAAAGACTTGGTGGATTCCGTCCTCTTTACATATTCACTTCGCTTACCTTACCCAGCCTTAATTGAGAATATGTATGGTTTCTTTGAATCAGTGCGGCAGGAATATCAGTCAGTTAGCCGTCGTTCGACTTTCTGATCGTGGGTTGTTGAGGTAGTGTTATTCAGATCATAAAAGACATGAAAGCAGATCAAGAAGAATGACGACATGCGACTGGTATTGCTCCATCACAAGACATACACCCACGCGTTACTTTCCTCTTCTTCTCTTCATTGCCCGAAGGAGCTGTAGGAAATGGTATCTATCCTCAACCGACCACTTCCAACATACCTGATGACAACTTCATCGGGCCCCAGAAAACGAGAGAAATAAGAGACAGACTTTTGAGAAAAAAGAAAGATAAAACAACAGTCTAAAAGAATAACTAATGCATACCACCCACCATAACAAAACCCCCAAAGCCCACACCTTCTCACCACTTGACAATAGCAACAAATCAGATCAGCAGACTCGTCCCAAGAGTGTGGTTCCAAGACTCATCTAAGGTCCAGATGGCGCTGAGAGCGCAGAGACAGAAGACAGCTAAAACACACCGCCTTTCATCAGATAAAGAGATCATCTGCTGCTGTTTTTGAGCCTTATTTGAGCCTCACTTGAGTCTCTCGAGTCTTGCTCATTGCTTGGGTTAGGTGGGATGCTTGCTGGGATTTGGATGATGGTGGGTATGGGTGTGTCTGTGAGCATTGAAAAGAATGACGATGATGATAACCCTGACATGGACGTAAAATCCCTTGTCGTTCCCTTTGATAACCTCCCCCCTTGTCCCTATCCATGTCGTCCCGCCGCCCGCTGATGAGTGGTGACTGGCCGCCGTTGCCGCCGCCGCCGCCGCCGGGGTCCGGTTGGGGCTCGTTTCGTTTCGTTTCGTTGTTTCGTCGTTTCCGTAGATTGTGCGACCGAGCGGTGCACCCCGGCGAGTGCCCCGGATATCCCAACTCGGCCTAGCCCACCAAGCCCACCTTACTGTAGCTTCACCTTGCTCGGACGGTTTCCGGTTGCAGAGTTCCAGACAAGCTGACCTGGGTGACTGACCTTGTCACATTGCAAGATCGTCAACCAGGTCCAGGGAGCCCGGTATGGCCCCGGTATGGCCCCGGTTCGCCTGAACGGACGACGAACGAGAACCGATGACCGGGCAAGAAGCCGGCCGTTCGTTCGATCGTCGTCCATTACCAGAACCCCTCCTTCTCGGAAAAAGGACGCTACGGAGTTAAAAAAAAAATGTATACACTAGGGAGAAAAGGAGCAGGACAAGGATTCAGATCCTCATCGCTTCATTCGGTACCATCCTTTACTCTTCCTATCTCTTCGTAGGCGCGCACTTGCGTGGGAGATAGACGCCGCACAAGACCAGGGAGCTAGGCTCGCCAGGCAGGACTGGCAGGTAGGGATCTTGCGAGTCGGCTTGTTCTGTTTTGAGTCTAGAGTCAAGAACTCACAAGCCAAAAAGCTTCATGGTTCATGGGTATGCAACGCGGGGTTGTTCAAGTGATGTTTTTCTTGTTCATGTTGACGACCATGTTGACGACTCCTCGCTCGGTTGACTTTTGGTATAAGTGAACCATCCAAGCGAGGCTCACGTGGTTGCAGAAGAATCATCAGACTCCACGGGACGTGACTTACCAACCTGGAGACATTCGAGTTCTCGGTCTCCCTGGCTTCAATCACGATACACAGCAGTAATAGCTTCGTGAATAGAGCCATGAGTAGGAGCGTCATCCCGTATGCAGGTCCGGAATTCTCGGAGCAAGGAAAGGCTTGGAGAGCATCGGAGTTTTTCCTTGGTTTCGCGGAATCGATCTCTCTTGGTTCTCTTCATTGCTGGGTTACTGTTACAAGAACGACGGCACGGTGAACCGTGATTCTGTTGTATACCGGAGTACGATGGGAGCCGGTACGAACCGGAGAATGATGCTCGGTATCTTGCCCCCTCCCCCCGTACGAAGAGAGGGGGTCTCCGGAAATCCGCGAACTCGCCCAAGGGAAGAGCAGTAGATCGACGGTGTCCGAGCATGGAGGACAACCCCACATACTCCATCCTGAGCCGCAAACTGTCGATAGGGAGGTAGCACTCGCTTTCTGATATCTCCATCTCCAGATATCCTCCCTTTTGTGCTCAGCCTCTTTCCCGAATTTTTGCTCAACAAATGCAAAGCAGATGCGAGATTTTCCCATCTCACATGCTGCGTAGCAGTACATGATACAGCCAAGCAGCTGGGGTTTGCCTACCTATCTGGGGTGTAGACGAATGCAATGTCTCCGGGAGTGGGTATGCCTCCCGCAGTAGTCACCGTCCGGAGACCGTTTTGATCCCAGACCGTCTCCGCTCACCGCTTGAATCCACAAGCCGATCCGGACGGACCCACCCATCAAAACAAACCTCCCGTCCCCCCTCATGACCCCAGGGTTTGCGCGATAGGAGTCGGGACTGACAATGAAAGTACGATCGCACGAATGGTAGAGCCTTGGGAATGCGCCATGAAACAGTTCCACATACCTTCCAAGCGTCCAGAAAGAAGATCGTTAACGTAAACCGGAACCGAGCCGCGCCGGGGAAGAACCACTTCCGAACTGTTAAGGCCCTGATCGGCTCAAACTTTTCATGGAAAAGTTGTGAGGGTTACAGGGGGTTTTGGTGCTAAGCTCGATTTTTTTTCTGGATTAACTAGTTTGGGTACTAAAAAATTCGAGAAAACTGCTTAAATTTAAACTAGGGTATTCAAAGGAGGTACCGACTAATGTAGGCCGTTATACGTTTCTAATTTATATTGAGATCAATAGATTCTTAGTATTTTTAACCAGTTTTCTTATTAAAATTGATAGAATTTTAAAAGTAGGGGGTATTCTATTTCTGGTAGAAAAGTTGTGAGTTTTCGTAAATTTCCTTACTAAAATATATAACGTAAGTAGGCCTACCCTATCGGTAAACGTTATATCGGTTGAGCCGTATTCGAGCTTTATATTCCTAATTATTAAAATTCTAATGTACTATAACCGCTATATATTCGTATTTATCAATATCGATCGTCATAGATCTAGGAAATCATAACCAAACTACTTTCGCCTTTATAGTAGTAACTACTATTAATATTATCTTTTGTAATAAAGAGAGGAATGATCTTAAACCTATATACTATAGCCTAAACTATACTGGAAAGTTAACTGATAAGATTTACTATAGTTTAATAATATAATTTAAGTAACTCTTTCGTATAAATTGACCTACCTTCAATACTTTATTAAAATAGTTTTAAGAGAATATTAGTTTAGAAGGTAATTAATACTAGATAGTATACTAGAAGTTAATAGTTTTTCTATATATCTTGGCCTATTACTAAAATTAGCAAACTACCTTCTATTATTTCCAAATTAGCTAGAGCTCTATATTAAAGATTATAAATAATTTATTGCTTACTTATAAATATTTACACTTTATATATATTATATTACTAGTAAATATTTATTTAGACCCTACTATCGAATTAAATCCTAGTTTGAATGCTTTTAGTAATTATATTAGTGCTATCGACAGTACCTATATTACTACGTATATTAAGAAAGAAGATTAAATTCGCTAGTACGATCAAAACGGATAAATAACCTAGAATATATTCGCGGTTATTAAATTCGATTATTCATTTACGTACGTATTAGCGGGCGTAGAAGGGTCGATTAACGATACTTTACTTTACAACTAAGCATTTTCGCATTCGTTTTATAACCTTCGTAATCGATATTATATTATAAACGTTAGGTTTGGCGTAAAGTAAGGTATTATAATCCCTTTTATAAATATTAAATACTATCTTCAAAATTGGAAGAATGAAGACGTATAATTAAAAGACCCTAAAGAATTATATAATTTGCATTACTTTCATATTCGAATTGTTATAGAATATATTTTTAGTTATTTAAAAAGGCAATGGAAGATTATAAGGGTAGCGCCTTTTAAATATAGTTTTAACAATTAGAAGCGAGTTATATATACGGTAATTATATTATATAATTTTATATTAAAATATATAACGTAACCTTACTAATTAAATATAAAAGAAAAAAGGTAGATAAAGTAAGTAAGAGTAAGGGTATAAAAGGTAGTGAGAGGTATTTATTTTGATTACGTTAGATAACGGTCGTCGATATTAATATAGAGGAATTGGTAATTATATTTGAAAAGAAGAGAGATGCTAAATAATTTGGTATATATAGAATAAAGTAGAGTATTAAGGTAGGGGGAGGAAGGGGGGGGAGGGGAGGGGAGGGGAGATTATAGATTATTATATTTATATAATTATTTCCTAAATTATTAGAAATATCAGATTATTTTATGAAATTAGTGTTTTCGAGTTAAAATTTAGTAAATTTAATAATTTCGTGCAAATTTCATAAATTATTAAATTAATTACCCTTTCCTCTACCTTATCCCTCTACTTTATTCTATTTTATTCTATTCAATCTTTCTAGCAGTTAATATACCCCTCCTTTATTTTCTTATTCAATTTCAACTATATACTAATAAAGAGAGGATAATTTACGAAATGATTAATATAATTTATTATTTCCTCCTCATCTAACTTAGAGAATTCGCGCTATAAATTCTCGACGGCGAAGGTAAATTCGTTAAATCTAACTAACTTAGGAATTTGTAATAAGGTAGCCGCCTTCTCTATCGACGCACTAAATAATTTGATATTACTACCCTTCTTTTTACGACCGATTTTATTAGTACTTACGTTAGTGAGGGGAGTTTTACCTTCTAATAATAGAATTTAGGTAGGATTAGTATCTTTCTTGTGTTATTACGCTTTAATAAGTTTCTTCGCGGGCGGTTAAGCAACCGTTTTAATTTCGTCATTATTCTTATCCTCTTCCCTATCTTCCTCCTCATCGTTAAATAAAATTACTTCCTCCCCGTTATCATTATTATTACCGAAAGTAATATTATTATTTTTAAATAGTTTATTTACTTACGATTCTTTTACTTTTGCGATACCCCTACCCGCCGCCTTTATTTTGAAGAATATTTGGGAATATATTTTAATATTACCGAGTGGGGTCTTTATAAGCTAATCGATAATATAATTTTTAATATTCTTTAGCTTCCGAAAGGCTTCTCAATTCTACGTAAATATTTTAAACAATTTAGTAATAGGGTTAAGCGAAGCGCTAGAAATAGAGAGAGCTTTTTTCTAATAATAATATCGGTTTTATTTAATATTAAACTTCGTTTTAATAATTTTTTGAATCAACGTATACTTAATCTATTTCTTTATATAATATTCCTTTACTTACTCCTATACTTCGGTAAAATATTTTAGCTACATCGAATTAAAAAATTTATTATTTTTATATTCGAAGAATTAAGTTATTATTATATCGTTTACGGTATTAAATTAATTAATCCTCTTCTTTAATTTAATTAGTTTGGGTGGTTTTAGTACCTTTAGCGTTTTAAGCTTAAGGGGTATTCGCTTCCTCTTTAAAGTAAGAAGAGGTATAGTTTGTAATAATTCCTTATTTTGTATAATATTTTAGTGTAGTTAGGTATTATTTAGGGAAGCTATTATAATATCGTTCTAAATCTTAATTAATTAGCTATTATTAATTTAATACGTTTGGGTAGGTTAGGAATTATTAATTTAATTGTAGTCTACTGGGTAAATAAATTGCCTATTTTCGAGGAAGTCGAAGGTTAGGAAGGGGGGTAGGATATCGTTATTATTAAGCGGTTTAAGAATATTATCGAATAATTGTAAGAGGGGGTTATGAAAATTATTTTATTGCTCTTCGCCTTTGTTATTTAATAAATAGGATAATAATAATATATTCGAGCCGCTTAGAGGGGTTAAATATTAATCTTAGGCGTTTATCTTTTCGGACTAAGACGTATTTTAATGAAAATTTTTCGTATAAGTCCGAATAGATCTAAGTACTAACCTCGTATGGGGTTTAACCTTATTTTTCAAATATTTTTAATAAGGCAGTGTGGAGGCTTTAGCCAACTATATTAAAAACGGTTAAGACTAGCTATTACTAAACTAATATAGTATTAAAGCGGTACGGTCGTATTGATATACCCCTTTTACTTGGTTGCAGACGAGAGGAGGTAGCTAAATATTCCTAACTTTTCCATGAAAAGTTTGAGCCGATCAGGGCCTAACGGCTCGTCAAGATCTTTCCGCGGCATGACATCTTGTTCCGTTTCTCTTCCTCTTCTCCTCAACCCCGAACACGCTCCGAAAATGGCTCTTCCATGTCGTCTCACCACTCACCTGACAATGAGCCGACCGAGAGCTCGGAAAATGCCCCACATCTGCAACCGTCCCGGCGACACAGCAGTTTTTACACCACTTTTTAGTTGCAGTAATGCTCTTACGCCCATGCTATGCTCGCTGCATCTTCATGTCTGCATGTTGCACACAGTTTGGTCTTGGACCCTGCCGCTAGCCGATAGCTCAAACGCGAGCACTACTGTAACGGCAAAAAAAGACCACCCCTCTTTTGCTCCGCTGATGAGAATTTTGTGGCCGAGCTAGGAGTTGGAGAAATCCTGGCTCTGCGTAGGTACTCCGTACCTAGGGCTTGCCGTCACTGGCCGTTCACGCAAGCGCAATGCTCCAGACATCAGACCAGACCAGACGAGATGCAGCTCTGGCCGGCGGGCCAAGATCAAAATAGACTGATCCAGAGTTCCGGGATTCGATCAAGGTGAAGAGTGCTGCACGCCTGCACCACACACAATCACGAACATCCTGTCCTCTATCTCAGAGCCCCAGCAGCTCTGCGGTAAAGACACTGGCAACTGACTGCTCACAATGCCCGTTCAGGACCA